CCAGGTTGGGCGGCCCCGTGTGCTCCCGCTTTCCCTGGCACCACACCTTGCCTGGGCACATGGCCAGCAGCCCCGCTATGTTTCAGGGCTCTGGGGCAGCGGTTTGCCAGGGTAGCTGGACCCAGGATGCTGCAGCACCCCATCTGCCTGGGAGTTGGGAGGTCTGTGCCAACATGCTGTGTGCATCCCCTGCAGGACACCTGACCTTTGCCCGGTGCTATGGCAGACCCCCCTGGCTGCTGCCGCCCCTGTGCCACCTGCCTGCTCTGCCTCTACAGCTGCCAGTGGATCACCACCAAGAAGGAGAAGAGGAAGGGCTTGAGAACCACCAAGGTGATACCACGGGTGATGCTGAGATGAGGCTGGCCAGGCCCTGCATGGGAGGCTTGGACTTGTGGCTGGGGTGGCGGAGGGTTCTGGCTGGGAGGCTCAGCCCAGACATTGGGCTGCTGACCCCTTGCCACTGGTCCTGCTCCCCAGGGCTGAGCCCCAAGAGAGCTGGGGTGCTACCAGGCACCCTCTCTGTCCAGAGACTGCCCTAGCCTGGAGCAGTGAGAGGGTGAGCTGTCTGTTCCCACTGGGTGACGGGAAGGGTAGAGCTGTATGCTGGCAGCAGTGAGGCTGAGCCGTGGCCGTCCCCTGCCTGGCCGAGCGTGTGTCTGCGGCAGGGCTCGCACGTGCCTGGAGCAGAGCTCTGTGTTCCCCGAGGGCTGAGCGTGGCAGGCAGGTCCCAGGGCGCTGAGTGCCTGGCAAGGCACGTGGGAGGCATGGTTCCTGGGCTGGGTGCGGCCCCCACCAATGGGGTGCTGGAAGGGGGTGTCCCCAGCAATTTGTAACCTGGGAGGGGTGAGGCCCTGGGATTCTCTGAGGTCTCCAACTCCCATGGGAGTGGCTGTGCTGCTGCTTGTCCCATCTTGCCTGGAATGTGCAAGTTGGTCCAGGCTGCCGGGTGTCCCGTTCAGCACCTGTGACACCCCTCACCTCCCCGTGTATGTGGGGCTGGAGACCATAAAGTTGGACCCAGCTTTGGCTGGGCAGGCAGGAGCAGTCTGCAGGCTCACCACTGCAATGGCAGCTCTGAGGCACAGCACCTCTCTCTGCACACCCAGCTAGAATGGAACAGGACCTGGCTCTTTGCCCCTTCCCATGTCCAAAGTCCTAGCCTGCTCCCAGGGGCTGCTGCATGGGAAAGGAGGCAGTCCTGCCACAGGGGCTGTCCTCCCCAGCCTGGCATAGGCAACTTCTTAGCTTGTTTGTAGGAGATGCTGGTCCATCTTCCTGTAGCATGGGTCCAGCCAAAACAGCTCTCCGGAGGAGCTCTGTTCCCTCTCCACAGGGCAGCTCAGTGCCCACTGTGACCCGCTGTGCACCCTGCTGCAGGCTGGGTGCTCCCTGGGGATCTCAGCATCCTGGCCAGGAGCTAGGTGCCCTGCAGGTGTGTGCACAGCTGTCACCTCTGGCTTTCAGTGTGACTGCAGCTGGTTCCTTTTCATCTTCTGCGTCTTCCTCTTCACATTGGTGTGGCTCTACTTCGCCATCATCATCCTCAATGATTTCCACAACTTCAATGAGTGAGTAGGATCCCACATCCAGCCTTGCTTCCCACGTTCCCCCTGCACCTCTGACCATTCCCTTTGCTGGCAGGTTCATCTTCAAGCAGCGGAAGTTGTGGCTAGACTGGTCCGTGGTCCTACTCATAGCTACGGCCGTGCTGATCACCTACTCAGCTGTGCTGCTGGTGAGCCCTACTGATCCCAAGCCCAAGTGGGCTTACGGAGCACAGGCTGGCTGAGTGCAGGCTGGCTGCGGTGCCCTGTGCAGAGCCAGGGGGACCCCACAGTATCTGGCCTGCTGGAGCTGTGTCGGCCTGAGCATGGCCAAGAGACTCTGCCTGTGTCAGGGGGCCAGAGCTCCTGTGGCTGAGTCCTGTGCCCTTAGAGGCTGAGGTGTGGGGTACAAGCCAGTTCTAACATCTCCTTGTCCTCTCACAGGTCCTTGCTTTGTGCTTGCAGCTCTGCGGCCAGCCCTTGAAGCTACACTGGCTGCACAAGGTGAGAGACTGAGGGTGCAGGGAGATGATGCCTGCCCTGGCTGCTCTTGTGCCTTGGAAAGCTGTGACCAGCCTACTGGGGCTGCATACGGCTGCTGTGACCCCACTGAGTGGCTGTGTGTCCCTGCTGAGCTGGGCTACAGCTGTTAGTCCCCCAGACACACATATCTGAGATGAGAACATTCCCCTTACTCAAAGTATGCTCAGCTGCAAACCCAAATGGGGGAAATGGGGTCTCAGGACTTGCAGGGGCTCAGGAGGAAGGGATGAGGAGGACTCTGCCTGCCCTGGCAGGATGCTGAGTCCCCCCCCCCTAATTGCCCTGTGCCCTGCCCCACAGACCCTGCTGATCTTAACTGCCCTGGTGGTGGCTGCAGCCTTCACAGGGCTGGGAATAAAGTGGGCGGAGGAGTGGAGAAGTGCACGTATCTCCCTGCAGGTGAGTCACCTCGATACCAGAGACTCCCCCGCTGTACCCAGTACCTGGCCTGTGGGGATGAGCTGAAGGGTGGTGGCTGGAGCCCCCAGCATGGCTGTGTGCCAGGGTGGTTAACTCCCTGCCCTTGATTTCTGCTGCCTGGCCAGGCAAGGTGCTCCTCCTGCTCTTGCAGTCCTGCCCAGCGCAGCTGCAGTAAGGGTGATGAGCTGGGCTGGACCGGGGAGTCTGTTCAGTCCCTCCAGGAGCCTGTCCTTCCCTCACTGGCACTGTGGCTCTTCCAGCGGTGCTAGCTGCAGTGACAGATCCCTGGCGTGTGGATTTTGGGGATAGGGGCTGGGCTGGTGCCGGCTGACACCCTGCCTTTGCCTCCCCAGGCAACAGGTCCCTTCCTGCACATTGGAATCGTGGGCGGAATGACGCTCCTTGCCTGGCCCCTGGCCAGCTTCATCTACCGTACCCGCAACACAGGTAATCCCCCTCCAAGGTCTTCACCTCCCACCTCTGCTGGTGCCCTGCTTCCTACCACCCAACCGAGTAGCACCGGTGGCAGCGTGGTGCACAGAGAGCATCGGTGCAGTGGGAACAGGTCTCCAGGATTCAGCCTGGTAGTAACGCCTGCTCTTGGTTGCTGCTTCTCATGCCCGGCCCTTGGTGCAGCTTCATCCCTCACTGCTTTGCAGCTGAAAGAGGGCCATGGATGGCAGTCCTGCAGAAGTGCTAGGTTGGGGTGCAAGGACATTTAGTGGGCCAAGAATAAATCTGCAGTGTTCCCTGAGGCTGAGGATGCAATGCCTGACCTAGAGCAACAATAAGTTAATGCCAGGTGAAGCAGCCTTAGCTTATTCCTGACAGCCTCCCTCTGTACCTCACAATTCTAATCTGTCTCTGCCTGCAGGTCTCAAGGTGTTTCTGCTGCTTGTGTACTGTGTGGTGGTGATTGCGCTGTATCTGGCTCCCCTGGGAATCACCTCCCCTTGCATCATGGAGGAGAACCAGCTGCCTCCCAAGCCAGCCCTGGTTGGCCACCGAGGAGCCCCCATGGTGAGTGACCAGCACCGGCAGTGTCCTGGCACAGTGGTCAGGGTGGATGGGGCAGGCTGCTCCACCAGCGAAAGCCAGGCTGTGCCCGGCCAGGGGGCAGCGGCATCAGACCCTTGCTGCTGCAGGCCTGGACGAGCTCTGGACAGCCCAGTAGAGAGGGGTCTCCGCACACCAGCTAGGGTAGCACAGGGGTGGAGGATGGGTGAGCACAGGGTGAGGAGGGGTGGGTGCAGCAGCCGCATGGCAGAGCTGCTCGCTGAGCGCTGCTGGACCAGGAGCAGGCGACTCTCAGCAGAAAGCCTGGCTGTGTAGTGTGGGCTGCGAAGCATGGACTAGGCAGGCTTCGGCTGTCTGCACCCAGCCCTTTTCCATCCCCCACCCTACCGGGGTCACCCCAGTCTCACTGCGGTTGCCCTAAAGCCCAGCCAAGCTGCTGGGTGCAGCCAGGCAGGGCGAGTGCCTGCCTCCAGCCCCTTCCTGCCTGTGCCCTCTGCACTAACACTGTTCCTTTTCCAGCTGGCCCCTGAAAACACCCTCATGTCACTGCACAAGGCGGTGGACTGTGATGTGCAAGTCTTTGAGACAGACGTCATGGTGAGGTAAAGGGGCAGCAGGGACTCAGAGGGAGGAAGGGCCTGTGTGTCCTGGATGTCACCTCCCACATGGGGTATTCTGGAGCACGCCTGGAGGACTGATATAGCCTGATATAGCATTTGGAGGCAGCCCTGTTCAAAGGGCTTTGCTGTTCCCACCTTCCCAGTAAGGGACTGGCTCCAGCTTGGTATCCCAATGATCAGGGAGAGGCGCACTGGGTTTCTGTTCTCCCCACGCAGGTTGCCTTCCAGGGCATTAGGAGGGAGGCACCATCAGGGGAGGGATGCTGCTTGGAAAACAGACCCTGGCTGTAGTTCATCTCATAGCAGTCCTGCTATAGGGACAGCTGTTACAGCAAGCAAAGAAATATTTGGTTTCTGGCTTGGTCTCTGTGCTTTCTGGACACTCACCTTTTTGTGTAGAGAACCACAAGTAGACACAAGGGTGGGGGTTACCCTAGCAGGGTGGCTGGGAGGGGGCAGAAATGTCAGGGCAGGGGTAGGAGACAAACAGTTTGCAACACAGAGCTTCCCTCTCTGCTCCTTTGCCAGTGCTGATGGGGTCCCGTTCCTCATGCATGATGAGGAACTCACCAGGACCACCAACGTGCGGGCTGTGTTCCCCGAGAGGGCTGCCCTGAACAGCACCGCCTTCAACTGGACAGACCTCCAGCAGCTGGATGCTGGCAGCTGGTTCCTGGAGGTCAGGATGCCCCGGGGTGGCTGGTCAGGGATGGGTGCATTTGTGAGTGAAGTACGAGCCCTGCCCTGGGGAAGGTTCTCTTTGCAGCACTGGTCCTGGCAGACACCTGGACAGGGTGCAGAAGCACTTCTATGCCTGCACAAATTCCTTGGGTGCGGTTATGCCCCAAGCTGGGGTTTGTTCTGACTCCCCAGCTGAGTCATGGGGGAGGCTGGTTTGAGGGGAGATGTCTCATGCATTTGCTGTGAGCTGCACAGCCTGCCTGGGCTTGGAGGCAGCTGTGGCAAGGCTTTTCCCAAAAGGTGACTAACCCACTGCTGAGCTGCTCTGAATGCTCACAGGTGTTGGGGCTGCTTGAAGTGTGCTGTTACTGGGGAGAAGGGTAGAGGTGCCCCATGGATGTGCCTGTCCACATTGGAGAGCATGTGGAGAGGCCAGTGTAGGAAACTGAGAGCCAGAGATGGGCACCAGTTTGGGAGGTGGAAGCTTGTGGGGGTCTGCCTATGATGACAAACTTTCTCTCACCCTTGCAGCGGAGGCCGTTTCCCACTGTGCAAAGTCTTTCTGCTGGTGATCGCTACCAGGTGACTAAACAGAGGATCCCATCCCTGGAACAGGCGCTAGAGGCAACCAAGCAGAGCAATATCTCCATCATGTTTGACCTCCGGCCTGAGAATCACAGTGACTACCAGAGCTTTGTCAATGCCACCCTGGAAGTGATCTTACAGTCAGGCATCCCGCTACAGCAGGTGAGCTGGCCACTGCCCCACCACTGCTGGGCTCTGCTGTCACACCCCTGCCATGGTGGGACCTGCCCTGCCAACCCCACTGAGCTGCCCTTCCACCCCATACACCACATCTCCAGGCATGGGGTTCTCTAGCTGGGAGATGTTGCCAATAATTAGGTGTTAATGCCTACAGCTTCAGACCTCTCAAAATACTCTAGTTCCCCAGCACTGGCCACCCTGGTGTGTAAACAGTGACTCTATCTAGGGAGGGAACAGCAAGAGCAGGAAAACAATGCTCAGGCCTCCACCTCCCAGTGCTGCACCACACCTCTCCCTGCAGCTCTGGGACTCCTGCTGCAACCTTCTGTGTTGCCTTTGCACTTCGTCCAGCCCTGGCAGCACAGGACACATGCTGCCCTGAGGGGATGAATTAGCACCCAAATCGCTTTCCCTTCTTGGCTTTTTGGGAATGCAGAACAGGAGGGGACACAGCAAAGACCTATACTGTAGTGCTGATCCAAAGTGCATTCTTGCTGCAGAGTTGGGGCCAAAAGTATGCTCTGCCTGATCCATTCAAGGACGCAGAAAGGACATAACTGCTGCAGCTTTCTTGGGCTAGAACTGCTTCCTCCCCTCAGTGGGGTCTGTTGTGCTTCTTGGCTGGGACAAGATCTTGGGAGACCTTCCTGGCTGAGATCCTCATGGAGGAGCTGAGCATGGGGAGGGGGCAGGAAGCAGCTGTCTGAGCAGGCCACGTGTGCCTGGACCTGCAAGGAAATATCAGAAGAGAGCAAGCTCTCTGAGGTTGCACACTCTCCTCTGCATGTGCTCTCTGGCTCTTGCCTAGGTCCTCTGGCTGCCAGATGGGTTCAGGGAACAGGTCAAACAGCAAGCGCCAGGCGTTCAGCAAGTTTATGGCCGGAAGAGACTCCAGAATGAGAAGGAGCCACTGCTGCATGTCAATCTGCCCTACCAGGACATGAGCTCTGAGGAGATCAGGTGAGAGCCCTGTGCCCAGGAGCCTGGGAGCTGAGGTGTGTGGCCTGGACACTGTCCCAGTGGCCAGCAAAGGTGATGGCCAGCTGAGGCTGAGTGCTCGCACTCTTCTGGGAAGGACAGGGTGTGTGCTACAGCCTTGCAGACAAGCATGCCTTATCAGGCAGGGCTGGTGCAGGGCATGGAGCTGGCTGCAGTCCTCTGCCTTGCCAGCAAATCTGCCCTGGGTCTGGCACTCCAGACAGTTGCTCCATGTGGTTGCAAATGCTGGATCACATCCCAGGCATACAGTCCTCTCTGGATGTATGCTGAGTGTGCCAGCACCCCGCTGTCTGCTGCTCTGACTGCAGCTGCCCCTATGCAGGCAGTACCGCCAGGACAACATCTCTGTCAACTTGTACGTGGTGAACCAGCCCTGGCTCTTCTCTGTGCTGTGGTGCTCTGGAGTGAGCTCTGTCACCACCAACGCCTGCCAGGTGCTGAAGGAGATGAAACACCCCATTTGGCTGCTTGTAAGTGACCCCGTTATCTTCCACCCTGCCCCACAGCCTGAGGCACTTGTGGGTCCCTTTCTGCAGCAGCCCTGGGCAGTCAGCTGCCTGGAGGGTGCCTTTTGCTCAGTGCTGTGCTGTCATGGGAACATGTGACCCTGCAGAAGGGACTGCTGGCACAGCGGGCTGGGCTGTGCCACCAGCACACCACCCATGGCCGGTGTTCATGGCTTGTCTTGTTGCCTTGCAGCCCAGCAGCACGTACCTCATGATCTGGATTGTTGTAGACTGCACTTCCTTCCTTGCCATCCTCTGGGCCTTCCTCTTGCTGAAGTATGTTTGATCCCTTTCCCCGTCCCGGGGCAGGTCTGTTGGGGGAGGCTGTAGTGTGCCCTGGGTGGCTGGTGTATAACCAAACCCGGTTGTATCTGCTGCCACCCCTCTCTGGACTCGGATCCTGGGGGCTCTGCTCCTTCCTGGCTGAGACAGCAGTGTCTGGAGGCAGCTTTTATCAGCAGGCTGCAGCTAAAAATCTGGCCTGACCCTTCCTCGAGCTGCTGGATGCCTTAGTTCACACTTACTAGCTCGCTAGGCACCCTAAGGCTTGGTGGGCTGAGGCTGGGGGACCTTGGCCCTGCTCCTTTACCAGTGCTGTAGGCACCAAGAGCAGATCCCTGCGGGACTGTGTATCCTGTGGGGCCCTGCAGTCTCCAACTGGGAGCTCAGGGGAGGAACAGGGAGGCCAGACTGTCATGCTAACATCGATCCTATTCCATCTCCTAGGAAATGCTCCCAAAGAAGACGGCTCGCGGGTGAGTGCACACAGATGTGAGCTCCCTCAGAGCCAGGCTGTGCCTGCGGGACTCTCCCTGGCAAGCAGACTGCTTTCTCCAGTGAACATGACAGGGAAGGAAGGGAATCCCAGCCCAGGGAGTTCCTATCCTGCCCTTAGCAAACAACCCTGTGGGACAGTGCTGGGGAATCCCACATTCCCCAAGTCTTCCCAAACCTGCTTTGCAGGCTGCTCTGCCTGTCACTGTAGGATGGTGTCTGCCTGCAATGACTGCTTTTTCTCTCTGTCTCCCCAGAGTCTGAGACAGATGTGCTGCTCACAAAGATCAACAGCCTGATGCAAGAGTGACCCCTCCAGCCTGCATCAGCCATGAGGAGGAGCAGCCAGAGCCCTGCACAGCTCAAGTGGGGAGCACTCCTCAGGCCAGCTTCGAGGCTCCTTTCCTTTGCAGACTCCTTTCTGAGCTTCCCGTCCCCCGTAGTCTTCCTGGCTCCTTGCATGGTCTACAACTGCCCTCAGCTGAAAAGACCTGGAACTGGGCTCCTAGCTCCCACTTACAGCAAGGAACTGGAGCCTTTGCAGGGGTTTCCTGGGACTGGCTTGTGCCTGGGGGCTGAGAACTTATCCAGTGGTGCTGGGGCTAAGACCTCTGCCCTGGGGTTTGGCGACTAGTGGGGATTTGAGTTGCTGTTTGGTGCAGGGAAAGGGCAGCCTCGGCCAGGGAGCAGCAGCTCTGCAGCCAGTGATGGGAGACCTTGTTTCAAGTGCTGCTGCCCTGGGGGCTGCCCTGCCCCGTGGCTTGAGGAATAGGAAGTGGGGGGGTGGCTTTTCACAATATGGAGGAGGATCTGAGCTCTTTGCACCCCCATGCTGGACACAAGTCCTGCCCCTGCTGGCTTCATGCTTGCAGGCCAGGGTGCTGACACCCCACGCAGCAGTTGGTGCCTGTTGCTCTGGGGGGAAAAGGAGCAGGGGCTGGGGGTGGAGGGTGCGTGGGGCTGGCAGGACCACGGTCATGCTCCTGCCGCTGCAGGGCTACAGAGGTGTGCGAGGGAGGGGAGCGGTCACTTTGCAGCTGGGCCTTGAACTTGGAAAGGGGGATCAGGTCAGTTTTACTTGTTCCTACCTATTTTTGTCAATAAATCAGCGGAGCGGTAGACAGACCCCGAAGGGGTGAGTTGGGCGTAACTGCTTGCTCCCCTGCACCCCTCTCCCTTTACCC